TCGGGGTGCAGGGAGTGGGGGCATATTTCTTTGGCTGTATGTGCCGCTCTCGTTTCGTGGGATCCCTGGGTGACCACCTGCAGAAGAACTCTTGCTCATGGGCATCTACCCAGAGGCCAAAAAGAAAAGTGTGTGTTCACTACACGTTCTCAACAGCACGGTCCAGCTTCATGACTTCTTCCTCGTTCCCAGCTACTCAGGATGACCCTGAGCTCTGTTTCAATCCCCCACCCAGAGAGAACAGGGACTCTTGGTTACCCTCAGAACTTCCAGCTTCTGAAGGATGCCAATTTATTTTTGAAAAAAAAATTTTCCTGGTACCCACTCGATGACTAACACTCCGTGAAGAAAGGATGCAGTGGACTTAAAAGATCATGAAAATGATCTGGTTTCAGAGGATACATGGCCTTGGCTTTGGAGTCAGATAGACTGGATTTGACTCGCAGCTCCAACACCAACTGATGCTCAGTATTAGGGACCGTTCCTCCATGCATAAGCCACATTTGTCCCGGTCACATTTGTGTTACATTGTTCAATGAATCGGAGTGTATCACTTTATTGACACATTAGCTCTTTCTGTCCTGACTTGTTCGTGACCTACCTTAACCCCAGTGAGACTCCAGCTACACTCAGGAACATCTCATCCGAGGTTTTGTTTGTTTTTCCCTTTACCATGTCTCCCAAGCACGGCCCACGGCTCACTGTGGAGTCATCACTCTCTGAACTGCAAGAGCCCTGTGCGAGTGGAACGGTTGCATATTAAGCTGAGGAGATGAACCTTAAAGATTCTAACTTGCTGTGGACCTTGGCTTCGTCGGTTAAACTTTGTGTTTCCCTTTCCTCATCTGCAAATTCTAACGAAGGCACTTGGCCTGTATGAACCCCGAGGCCTCCTTCAGCTCTAGGGTTGCCGTGAGAGTCATTTCAGGAAGGAGCTAAACACTGGTGCCCGGCGGCGTGTGCCCTCTTGAGGAGCTGACAGTAGAGTTGGAGACTCCAGGAACCCAGCACCTGGATGAGGTCTGGGATGCGTTTGGTCCCGCGATGTGGTCCTGTATAAAAACCAAGGCTCAGAGAGGGAGCTGGACTATTAGGTGGGGTTTTTTGGGTTGTGAGGGGCAAAACCAAGTTTCAGCCCCCTCTTAGAAAAGAGAGCCATCCAGAGAAAACTGGGGTGTCGTATGAACTCAGGGGTGGGAATATGGTTCTGTGGGACCATAGGAGCGGCTGGAAGCGGAGGCTGGCTTTCTGTATCCCACCTCTTCTTTCTCTGTCCTGCTGGCGTTTGTCTGTTTCATAGCAGGCTAACTTTCTCCGCATTGCAGAAGGCACGGCCCGAGCTTTGCCTCTTACAGCTTCATCTCTCCCTCCTGTGGTGTCGGGCACGAATCCAGACGTCCCAGGGAAGGATTCACTGGTTCAGGTCGGGCCGTGTGCCACCCCTGCACCCATGGACTGTGGCTGAAGGGCAGGGTTTTATAAGAGGGCAGTTAAGGGCGGGGGAAGAAAATTTTGCAGATGTTGCCAAGCAAACAAAACAACAAATACTGCAATACTTCCATAAGCCATTCGCCAGGGTTGATTAGGGGGTGAGGACACTATCTTCTCCTTCGATGCCTTGTTCCCTCAGCTGTGTTGCACATGTGTGAAACAGCTAAAGGGCAGCGGCAGTGGCTGAGCTTCTGTACGAAAGTTGGGTATGACTCCTAAGTCCCTTTGGAACCAACGAACATATTCTGGGCCTGGCCAGTTTCCAGAAACAGGCAAAGATAAAGAAAACATTTTGATTTGGTAACGCTTGTCCAGTCCAGCCACCTGGCATGTTAATGACACCCTTCTTATTTAGAAGCTGTGAAACAGCCCACCAGGTTGTAAGCATCACTGATATTGATGGAGAAGAGGTAATGGCTGTCCCTGCTGCAGGAAGCAGAGTCCTCTGAATGGAGCCACAGTTAGAATGCAGAACAAGTGGCCAGGAAGGGTGGAAACGTTTGATTAGGGCCTGGGACCTGGGCAAAGCCCCCCAGCCTGCATTTGGGGCTGTTTGGCCTGAAACGACTCTCCGCCCCCCCTCCCCGGGCAGCGCCTGCAGGCTGATTGCTTATTTGCTCCTGGCAGCCCTGCGCCTCTCACCCCCAAAGCTGTTGCTTTCGTGAAGGATTCCAGCTGTGAGAACGAACTCCCTGGTGACACACAAACAATGCCTCTGGTTTCTTCGCCTCTCTCTCCGAGAAAGGCCAAGCTTCCATTCAGCCGGGGAAAGAAAAGCAAGGGACATTTTACCCTTGAATCCCCGCCATCCGTCAGTCCTTCTCGCCAGCGGGGAAGTGATATGTCTCCTGCTCGGTTTGCAAACTGTGGCGATTTTGCTCCAAGTGGCAGGTCCCCTCCCTGCTATGTCCTCCCCAAAGCACTTGGATCTCTGATGCCCCCACCGTCAAGCCTCGCGGGGAATGGAATCCTCGCCCTGTGCAGAGTCTTTGAGCCGTGGGTTCTCCCATGCTGGCTGTCTTCCCTCCTCATCTCTCTCTCTCTACCTGACATGTGCCGATTCGCTGATGGCCTCAGCACCGCGGCTCAGTGCTGCACAAACAGCTGGGTCATCATCTCACTGGATTAAAACTTTTACATCCAAGATGCTCGGCCCCCAGTCCTGCCTTTTTCAGAGTTAATTTAGTCTCACATTAGGTTTGATGCACGTGGTCGCCTTGCGCACATCGAAAGTGTTGACAGATGGGCTAAGTCAGAGAAAGATCCCAATGGGAATGAGAACATCCAGATTTAAAAAAAAAAACAAAAAACAAGAAAACTGTGGGTGAGGTGATAAGAGGCTTTGGCAGGTGAAAATCTCTTAGCCCTGCCGTGGTAAGTTTAATGAATATTTATCTTCAGCTTTGTGTTCTCAGATTAAAGGCTGCAATATTAGAACAGATAGAAAGTCTGGAGGGAAATGACTTACTATCGTCTCTCTCTCTCCGAAGACTGTGGTGTTCCGGAGACAAGTGCTAATACCAGCCTCTGGTTGGCATGAACCCCTCCCGCCCCTAATAGCCCCTGATGAGCAATGAGCCCATTGTTGGTGACCAGGAAAGTCCAGGAGAGCCGTTGGTCCTGCAGGTGATGGGAACAGCCCCGGGGCGGGGCGGTTGGTCCCTGCCCTGCCAACCGAGGGTGCAAGGCCCTCGCAGGAGCACTGTCTCTGGCTAACGAGGCGTCATACCCGATGCTCAGCCAGCACATTCCAGGCAGGGAAGCCCAGCAGAGGCCCCCGGAAGATGGGGCTCCCTCAGGCAAGCTACCAAGAACAAATTCCTGCTTATAACCAGCCCCAAACTCTTCTGCACTTAGCCCCTCTTGTAAAGGCGATAGAAAGAAGCTTGGTTTCATTGGGCTTTGTCTCTTGAGGGTTCAGCGACTCCAGAGCAAAAAAATTAAGAATCAACAAGCACTTTTGTCTCTGTCTGCCACGCTGACGTGCATGCTTATAATTTTATTAGCGGCTGCCTGGGAGCCAGGCCTGATTTAATTTAATTTAATCTCCTTGGTTATTTTCAGTTCAGCTCAGTCTATTTTAAGCACGGATGCAGGGGAAGCCATCAGACCGAGGGGGCGGCTGAGGAAGAGAGGGAGGAGGTCCCTTCCGCTCCCCTCCCTGGTTACTCACGCTGAACCCCTCCCCAGAGAAAGTGAATGACTTCATGGAGACAGGTCTGCCAGACCAAGTTCTAGTTCCCACCGAGTTCCCCTGTAGCCTCATCACCCTGTTTCTCTGAGTAAAGAAGTGTTCCATCAGCTCAGGGAGGGGTGTGGCGCGGAGAAGACTATGACGCAGCCAGAATGACAAACGGAGCCATTCTCCCTAGTGCCAGGAGAGGACCGCAGCATGGCACCTTCCCTCGGCCCCTGCCTTTCTCTTCTTAGCAAACTACTGTCTTTCCCTGTGTTGTTGTAGCTCTTTTTCTCTGGAGTGCCCTGATGCTGTGCGATCAGGAGTTTGAGAGGCAGGATACCAGGCTCTCCCAGTTTGATGGGTTTTGTCTTAGTCAGTGCGTGAGACAGACGCTCCCTCAGTGAGACCCAGAACTGAAAGTCTTGTCCCCTGGAGCTGTCATGCCAGCTGTGAGCCCGGGAGCAGTGTCCCCAAGGCCACTCTGTCATTCACTGCTCTTGGGGGGACCCCTGAGAGTGTGCATTTGGTTTGCTAACAAGAGTGATTCAGAACAAGAGTCTTTCCCAGTTTTATATGCCATCTCCGGACGTGGAAGGGTCCATCCCTCCTGGAGTGTTGGTCCCGTGTGCCCGGGGCGCTTACGAGGCTTACCTCCTGTGCAGAATCCCTGCATCTCCAAGGGTGCCTGGCACAGAGCTGGCCTCAGAGCATGTCCCTATGACGACTGCTTTTTTCCCGAATGATGCTGATAAGAACACCTACCACCAGCTGGGGGCTATTAACTGCTTACTTTGTGCCGGGCACTATGCCAAGGGCTTGACTTGCATGATCTCGTTTAATACTTAGAGTTCCTACTGGGTGAGACGCTTGTTATCTCCGTTTTAAAGATGAGGAAGTGGAAGCTTAGAGGGTCAGGGACGTGCCAGGTGACAAGGTGGAGCTCGAACTTGAATCTGAGCAGAACGTTTCTGCTCCATGTCCCGGGAATTTCCACGAGAACACAACCAAAAGTGTTTCTGGTGCAGGCTGATGAGCATGAGCGTTGGTGGCTCTCCCCACACCCCTCCAGGTGGAGGTGCTCTGAGAAGAGGGAGCCCTGCCGGGTTTGGGGCTGAGGGTAGGACTGGCCGGAGGGGGTCTCGGGTGGCTCAGGTGTCCTTCATGGTTCATGGCAGTCCGACCGGTGGGTCTGTTGGCCACTCCCTCCTCCATACCAGGGCTGCAAAGCTTGATGCTGTTCAGTATGCAGCCTGCTGCCCCCACCCCAGACACCCTGAATCCAGCCCTCCAAGAGTGGAACCTGCACGTATGTTGTGCGTGAATTCTCCACCGTGATTCATGCACAGAAACGTTTGAAAACCACAGATCTGGGTATTTCAAGCTCTAGTCTTGTGGCAGATTCAATTTTCTTAAAACAAAAACAAAAAAAAGTGTCCATATGTTTGGGATGATGTTGGAGGGTTGGTTATTAGGATCAGAGCACTCTGTTACCCAAAACAGACATACATGTTGGAAACGCAGCGGCATCTGAAGGCAGGAGCGCAGGTGATGCCAATTCTGGTCTTCCATTCTGAAGGCACCAAGTTTCACCCAGTGGTGGCCCTGGCCCCTGGAGACCAATTCCAACACAGTCCTGATGAGTAGTACCCCAGGATGCCACTTTATTAATTTAGAGAGAAAAAGGAAACTGGCCATGTATGTGTCTTTAGACTTGATCAAAGCACTCTCTGCAGTGCAGTCAAGCTATACCTGGAGACAATTCATAACAAACCCATTTTATTGATTTGCCCTGTAAAACACTGTCCCGTAGACTGCCAGTAGCAGGAATCCACTGGGGTCTTGCCTTCTTGACCAGTAGACAGACGTCAGGGGACTCGGAACACTGCCAGGCAAAGATGGAGTTATGACAAGGGAATCGGGTAACTGTTTAATGGCGTCAGGCTAAGATTTAACATTTATCTCAAAGAAGAGGCAGCTGTGCTCCTGGGGCCAGAAGCACTTGAACATAAATGCTCAGCCCCTTCTCCCGGGGCCAGTTTCACAGATTCTCCTAGTGGTGGCCTCAGTGTCTCTGCTTTTCCTCTCTTGTTTGAATATCTTCACGCCAGACACTGGCTGTTCTTACAAGTCTAGGAGCTACTCATCTCCTTCAGAGGACTGTGCAGAGCTCTGCTCTGACCCAGTGTTGAAGGAGCCGGGGGTTTGTCGATTCCCAGAGATGACTCTTGCTTCCCTCATTTCCTGAGGAAAGAGGAGTCGCTTCATCATAGCCCCAGGTTTCAAGTTCCTTCATCTTCAGCCTCTGCAGAAATCATCTTTCCCCAAATCTGATTCCGTCTTTCCAGATGATCTGGATGAAATAACTCCAAGTAGTAGAGGAGGAATGTTTATGTGAACTTCAGATCTGTGGGTGTACCCCCCTCACCCCCAGCCTCACTCCTACCCCATCCCAGCTCTAGGGGGTCAGGGAAGACTCCAAAATTATACGAAAAATGTTGTGTCTACATTCTGGGAGGGAGAGCAGCCGCAGCTGCCATCCTCTCTGAGGCCTCCTATGAACCCCCACCTCCATTTAGGCATTATTTCCAGAATGAAGCTCAATGAGAAGGAAGCATCACTTAAAGAGTTTGGAGAAACAGAGTATTTTCCCCCAAATTTCTCACACAGCCAAATTGCCATTCAAGCCGCACATTCTCAGATATACGAGGGCTCAGAATATACATCAGCTGCATGCCTTTCTTGAAAAGAAGTTATTTAAAGGCCAGCGAAAGAAGACTGCAGGACAAAAATGAGGCAAAATTAAAACTTCAGGAATGGGGAGGTCCTAAGACAGAAGGATAAGCAGTAAGCATTAAAATCAGTTGGACATCCTGATGTGGAAAATAATTTATTGAAAACTATCAATCATGTGACAATCATAACCATGATTAAGAATCTCATAATCTAGGTAGTTTTACGGTAACAAAACTGAGAAATGGGGGTGGGTGGTGGTGTGGGGGGATAGGGGAGTAGACCACGGCCATGCAGGTCTTCACGCTGGAGGGAGGGGCTCCGAAGATTCGTTTACTCTTTTCCTTGATGACTGGAGAAACAGAATTTAAAAAAAAATGTTTGGGCCTGAATCTTTAAGACTGTCATCAGTGGAATTAAAGCAAGATTTATACGTTCTAAAATTTCTGGGAAAGGTTAATGAAAATAAAACACCATGTAACAAAGGACTGGAAACAAAACAAATAACCAGGAGATGTTAGGTAACAGAGTTGGATAAGGTGTTAGGTAAAGAGTGAAAACAAAAGTGGGGCGAGGTGGAGGGGAGGGTAGAGCTCAGTGGTAGAGCACGTTCTTAGCATGCACAAGGTTCTGGATTCGATCCCCAGTACCCCCATTTAAATAAATAAATAAATGCCTAATTACCTCCCTCCCTAAAATGAAAAAAAAAAAAAAAGTGGGAGAGGCAGTTCAGTGTAGGCGTTAAAAGTGTATGGAATCCAGCTGCCTGTCTTCCCCCTCCCCGCCCGCTATTAGCTGAGTAACCTTGTGCCAGGTACCACGTAATCCCCCCAGTCTCAGCTTCCCGGTCTGTAAACTGTGGATTCCAAGTAGGGTCATTATGGGGGCTTAATAGATCCAAAGTCCTGAGCATTTTTTGCCTGGTACATACTTGTGCTCAGAAATACAGGCTTAAACTGCCCAGAGTTTCCAGACCTTTTTAAACAAAAATTCAGTGATGTATATTCTATTAGTGAAATTTACATCTTGTAGGAAAGGAGAAAAATCTTCTTTCTTTCCTGCCCAGGTTCGTAGCTGGGGCTCTGTAACAAAAGACATAACTAATGAGAAAAACATACACATTTATTTAATATACATTTTACAGGACCCAGGAGCCTTCATAAGGAAATAAAGACCCAAAGAAACTGTTGAACCTGACTGTTTTTGTCCTAGGCTTGACGAAAAGTGGAAAGTTGTGGGGAAATCTAGGACAGAAGGATGAGTGAGCTCAGAGAGGGGACTTGGCAAGGCCCTGCATTTGCATCCCTGCCCGGGTTCCTCTGTTTTCAGAAATAAGGGTGTCTCTTGCCTCCGCGTCTCACGTGAAGGTTTTAAGATGGGAGATGGGAAAGGTCAGAGGGTCCTTTCTGCATCAGCTGTTTCTCAGATTCCTTCAGCTGGAAACAATTTAATATGCCAAGATGTTATATTCTGGGGATGGAAGTGTCCTGAACCCTAGAAACCTAAAGCAAAAGCCGTGAACACTAAGAATAAAGAATGGACAGAGAGCTTTCAGGTGAACAGAGGAAAAGCAGCTGAAGGAGAGAATTGCCATGAAAACTAGGCACCTTGATGCAAAAGGCTGTACTTCACAACGGGTTGGAAATTTGAAACAATGTCAAGTGTAGGCTTGTGGCAAAAGTAACAGAAAGTTGAATATGACCAAAGAGATGGCCCAGCGTAAACCAGCAGAAGCCACAGAATCCAGTGGAGATTCACGTCACAAATGTTGCTGGGAAAGTTGTCTAAACATTTGGAAGACAAGATAAATCAGATCTTGCCTCACACTGTGCACCAAAATAAACTTCAAATGGGTTTAAAAGTGAAATATAAAAAAGAAACAAATTGATGAAAGAAAATACAAGTGAATATGTGGCTGATTTCAGAAAAGGCAAGGGAAGACAAGAAAAGGCCGTCCTCTAAATGTAAAAGAAACGGAAAAAGTGAAAAAGGGACCGTGTGATGGATTTAACTGTATACAAACGTCAGCCACTGTGTTTCTAGAAGCGCAGTTAATGAAATCTAAATGAAGTCTGCAGCCAATACAACAAAGGGCCACTGCCATTCATTCACGTCCAAAGAACTCTTTTGACCTGGTGGGAAAATTCTTTAACACCCTGTAGGAAATTTGAACAAGGAGTAAATCAAAGAAAAAGAAACACTAACGGCCAAATAACCATGTCGTGGGGGTGGGGTATGGGGAGTTAAACCACAGAAATAATCAAGGAAGTCAAAATCACAATGCTATTTTTTAACTTTTGTCCCCACACCCTTCCTAAGGTTTGGTTTGGGCGGCTTGACTTTGGGGGGAGTGATTTGGCACTGTATGTCAAGAGTCTGGAATGGTTTTGTTCCCTCTGACCCAGTTCTAGTAAAATAATGTCCCCTGGGGAAAAACATCAAACTCAGATGAATATTTATTTATGCATGAAGATGATCAGTTGCCATATCATTTATAAAGGTGGAGAATTTTAAACTACAAATTGGCCCCAAACAGGGAATGGATTAAATAAACTATGATATAGCTGGAAGATGGAATGTTAGACATTTAAAATGATTTCAAAGCATGCCTTGTTATGGTATAAAGCAGGTTGTTCCTAGATGTGAATGCTGTAAAAATAAATAGTATAGATAGATGCAAAGGAAGAGACTGGCACACCAAGATGCCAACAAGGGTTCTCTCTGCCAGCAGAAGTATAGGTGATTTAAATTTTCTTCTTTATACTTTCAGGTATTTCCATTTTTGTATGATGGGTGTATCCACTACTCTCATAATAAGAAAGATAAATATTTCTTAAGCCTTCCTATAATATTTATGCAGACTCACTTGAGGCTCTGATAACCTGGAAAGTATTATTTCCCTCACACAAACCAGATTCCACTTCCTTTTGGAACGTCAGCATTCTAGAATTTTAATAGAAATTGTTATTTTCACTAACTGTAGGAGAAAAAGTAGTGAAACGTTTTATGGTTCATTTCCAAGGACCAAATGTTGCTTTTTCTCATCTCACACCAAACTCCTCTAAGTTCTGTTTCATAAATTTTGTGGGACTCTGGTCGAAGAATTGCTGACTCAGGTTTTCTGGTATGTGACTGGCCACTGGATTTACTGGGACCGAGATGACATTCTTATCCCCGAACAGTGAGTCTCACCAATGAGACAGAACATTCAATAAATAGGCCCTAAAGGGGGAGACGAGTGTCCCTGAATCCTGATTTATAGGTGGGTGATGTGGAGTGGGGCGGGGAATGTTGAGCTGGTGTGTTTTTAGTGTATCTCATTTTTCTCGCCTCTGGCTTCAGCAATGCAGGAAACAAATACCAAATGTATGGGTCACTTAACGTGGAAGAGCTCAAACCAGAGATTCTGTGAGTTTCGACACAGATGGTATCTGCAGACTTGACACAAGGTAATTAGATCAAGAGGGGCAAACCCGGCAGCACCCACATTGTTCACAGATTCACAGTTGATTGTTACCCAGACAGAAATTCTTCACTGTGGTTGATGACACCTTCGCATTTTTGCCCTGAAGTCCGCAGAAGTTCTGCGTGGCAGTGGCCCTTTCCCAAGTGTAAATGGCTCTTCTCGGTATACTTCCCCATAAAACTGGAGCCCTGTCTTATGTCCTTTAGCTTTTGTGAGCTCAGTGACCCTTCCTTCAAAGCAGTGTTAAAAAAAAAAAAAATGCCGGACTCCTTTTGGGCCTGGATTTATTCTCCATTGAAAAGGCCTGTGAGGTTTTTTCCTGTCCGAGAGTCCCTCCAAATGGATGCTTTGTGAACTGCAGCCCAGACGCGAGAAGTCTGCGGGCTTTCCTGTGTGCTTTAGCTTTCCAGCCCAGCAGGAGTCCGTGGGGCGCTCGCAAGTTGTGCCTGGCCCTGTGCTGCCCTCCCCAGGGGTCGGGGGAGATACCCAGGTAGCTATGAGGCAGCCCCTGCTCCCAAGTTGCTGTGAGTCTGTGGAGATGGGCTGGGCTGGTGGTGGGGCGGAAGGTCAGAGAAGATGGGTCTTGTGCCAAGGAAAGGGTGGAGGGGTGTACCCAGAAGCCCAGGACAGGAGCGGCGCAGAGATTCAGGTATTTAGGAAACAGTCCCTGAGTGTCTGTTCGCAGTGCTGCACTAGGCCGTAGGGGCTCAGAATAACTGGTGGCCTCATTGGCGTGAACGGGTCTTTGGGTTTCCCTAAGTACTGAATGATGTGAGGGGTTGGGTGCAGTTAACTCTGTAACATACTTAACAATCAACCATTCAGAACCGCTGCCAGCTCTTAAGTCTTGCCACCATCACTGGGTGAATGTGGAACGGAGTACGGAGTGTCCCTAAAATCCAGATAGAAATTTTAGGGTAAATAACAGAGAGCACAGGGTCTCGGCCTCTTCTCTAGATTGGGAGCCTCAAAAATACTGTGCCGCTCAAGCTCTGATAGAAAGTCTCCCAGTTCTGATTCCTTTGTGAGGGAAGGGCGCGACTTTTTGCTTCTGCTAGCCAAAGCAGCCTTTCTGCCAAACCAGTCTGATGCGTTCACCATCAGCTCTCACCTTCCTTAGTAACTCCTCATCCTGAACTGTTGGGGAAATGATACCTCCTTTTGCCAGATTGAGCTCGACCACTAGTAGGCGCCCACGAGCTCATGGAGAAACGTGCGGCCACCCTGGGCAGACCTCCTGACTCACGCCCCCCACCCAAGAGCAGTTCCCAGCCGGTTCTTGCTCCGCGTTGCCAGGACCGCTCCCAGACCTCTGCCCACCCCCAGCGAGGTAGGAGTCCGCACAGAGGAACACTCTCCGTCTGCAGGTTCTGAAAGGCTGTGGGCAAAGGAGGAAGATCCCTCAGTCCTTGGAGAACCGGGCTCTGAAGACATTCGGCTAAGGTCCTCAACCAGGACCCACAAGTGCCCTAAAATGGTCCTAGAAGCTGTAATATTGTGTTAAAGGAGCTTATGGCTTGAAGAGAAGGCAGAATCTCTGGCCCAGAATGTGTTCAGGTGGACGTGTCACCACCCAGCGCTGAAACCCGCGTGCATCGGGAAGTGACTCGGGAGCTTTCGCTCGCTCTCCCCGCTCCCTTGTGCCAGCTGGAGCCCGCCCAGGGCCCTTCTCCCGCGGTGACCTTCTGGGCTGACCTGACCGCCTTGCTGACTCAGGTCCTTCCCGGGGTCCCTGGCTCCCTTGTGACATGCCCCCGCCTCTGGCTGGGGCTCGGCTCCCTGATGCGTCTAGAGGCTGGAGCTCAGATCCCCCGGTCCCAAAACGTTGCCTGTTGCTCGACAGCTTGGCCGCCCCCGAAACATCTCGTGGGAAGGACGTTCGGTAAATCCTGTTCCGGAAGCAATCTGTCTCGCCACCAGTTTCCCCACCAGCGTTTGCTCGGGGAGGTCTGGCTCCTGGCTCCGGGTACAGAGCTGACTTGGAGCGGCGTGAGGGAACTGGCAGCGTCTGAGACACGGTTTCTCCCCTTGCAGCACCGTCAGAAGAGGC